GATTCTAGGTACTCTTAACAGGAAGGTAAGAAACTGAAGTTCAGTTCAAGGAAAAGTACTAAGATTGAGGACTCACACCCACTTGGAAAATACCCACTGGCATGAGAAGAAAGAGAGAACCATTTAGCCTGGAGGAAGTTGAGTTGGTGGATGCAAGAGTGAAATGGGAAGAGAAAAGGGTTGTCTACAGTGAGGTTTCTGACAATACAGACAGTTTGAAAATGAAATTGTCTATTGAGGGGAAAAGCAGATGTACAATGGTGCTAGAAAATGAGCACTAGGGAGCAATCTTACTCTGGCAGTGAGCTATAAATCTTTTCTAGCTCTAGCTTTGAGGGGGTTTAGAGTTTGAGGTTTCCTTTAGAAAGACAGAGGGGAAGCAAGTGCTCCAGTAAATTGGCTTATTTTGTTGTGAACAGCTTGGAGAACAGTAAATGGCAACTTCCTTGACCTTGCTTGGATTGGTGGGAGTCATTACCTTAACTGATACAAAAGAAGCAGTGTTTCCTATTCCTGTTCATTACAATTCTTCTGCCTGTGTCTTCTTATTCCACTTCCTGGATTATTGTACTCCAGTACCATTAAGAAGTGTCACTAAGAGTCCAACTAAAACTGCTCACCACGCTAACATATTTCTCCTTCAAAAAAACGGCTTTGGAAAAAGCTTTGGAGTGAATGACAAATTCATTAGAATAAAGGAAACTTTGCTGCCTTAGACTGATCACAGTACAGTGTGCTGCCAACAGATTTTGAATGATCCTTTTTGCAGCCACTTAGGTTTTGCTTTAATGGCTTTAGGATGGTATGTGGAATTTGGAAGAGTAACCACCTTGGTTACACAGATCTATCTACTTAAGAGTTGAGTCCTGCTCCTACTTAAATTTGTCACTCCTGTTGACTTAAACTGCTACATGGAAAGGCCTGCAAGGGTGAAAGAAGAGAGAGGTGGTTTTATTATAGAAAAAGGAGAGGATAATCATAGAATCATAGAATTTTAGGGGTTAGAATGGATCTTACAGATATCTTGTCCCTACCCCTCTGCCATACGCAGGGACACCTCCTCACCAGAGCAGGTTGAGGGGGTTGGGACTAGATGATCTGTAAGATCCATTCCAACTCCTGAAATTCTATGATTCAATTATTATCTTCTTTTTCTCAGATTCATGGCAAATTTTGAATCTGACTTCACTGAAACTGGCCTTGATTTTCTCCAGAGAGAAGCAGACTCTGTATTTATTATTGAAGGGCCACATATTTGGTTTTTTTCTGTGGTCTTGAGCAGGACAAGTTGGGTATTTCATTCAGAAGATAGAATATAATCATCTGATGGCTGGTTACACTTTCCAGGAAGTGGATTGTGCACATCTTTTCTGCTGTTCCTTGAACTAACCAAGTCAATATTGAATCTGTGAGACAATTGCTGTTTAAATCCTCAACTGGATTCCTTTTGATCTGATTAAATACTAATGTTACAAATTCATATAGCAAAACTTATCTTAAGTTGACAACAAATACAGGTATCAGCATCAATCTGTTTTGGTGTCATGCAGATGTGAATGTTATCTTATCATCATCCCTGAAGGTTTTCAAGACAAAACTAGATGTGGCTCTTAGTGCCATGGTCTAGTAACAATGGTAGGGTTGGACTTGATGATCTTTGAGGTCTCTTCCAACCAGGTTGATTCTATGATTCTATGATTCTCACATTTTGAAAGCGTCTCCTGATTGTTTAATGTCATAACAGATGTATCGGAAGAAGGTCCAGCAGCTCCTGCAGAACCTGATCCGGAAGCTCACAGCTGTCAGCCAGTATGAGGAAGTACTTGCAAAAATTGATGCCACATCCACAGATCGCCTCACAGTTCTGAAGACCAAGCCCCAGTCCATCCAGAGGGACATAATCACAGTCTGCAATGATCCCTATGTGTTAGCTCAGCAGCTGACACACATAGAGCTTGTGAGTTGTTATACTCCCAAGTATGATTTCATCCTTCCCCTCTTTTTGAAGTGCAGGTTAACATAGGATATGACTTGGCTGCTTCTATGCTTTGTTTAGGAGAGACTCAATTATATTGGACCAGAAGAATTCATCCAGGCATTTGTGCAAAAGGATCCTTTGAATAATGATAAGGTAATTGGAGCAGCTCTGAAATACAGCATTTGGCATCATAGAACTCAGGTGTACCATGAGCTGGAAGTGAGGTCCAGCAATAAATGAGGATCAGTAGAAACAAGCTTTGTAATGAAAATGCTCTAGTATTCCTCTTAAACATTTTGCTAATGATTTTTTCTTTCTGGAGGACAACTTCTGAAGCTCCAGAACTCAGCCAACAAATTGACTTAAATTAAACATTTGCTGTTTTTTCTGATTCAGGCTAAGGGAGAACTTAATCCCGTGAATGTTTTCTCCAGGCCACCTATGTGGTCTATAGCTGGAAGGAGCTGAGTTTAACTTTGGTTTTTGTGTTACTCCTCTGTTCTTCCTCTTAGAGCTCTTTGCAGCAAACTTGCAAGTGGGTCAATTTGCAGGACATGGATCACAAAAAGGGGATAGAGAGCTCGAGATTCATGTGAGATGAAGGGCAAAGATGCAGTGGTTCCAACTACCCATGATAGAGTTGTCATCTCTTTGGGTGCTGTTTTCAAGATGATTTAGGTTTTAGTGTTTTCCAAGGTGACTTACCCCCTGTAAATAAACTGTGCCAAAGTCAGTTTGTTAAAACTTGAATTAACTGTCCTTCCTTAACCTGACAATCAGAGTACAATGATGCAGGTTTACAATTTGATGTTCAGTCACATGATCCCTGAAAATTATTTTCTAGATAGAGGTCAGTAAAACTGCTGTCTGTCCCTTTTTAGGAAACCCTGAGGTGTGGTGTGGGAATTGTTCCAAGCTACTACAGAATAGCACTGGTCAGGAAAGGGAGAATCCAATCAAAGTGGTAAAGCTGAATCTCCCAAAGTTAGGATGCAGTATGTCCATTTGTCATCAACAGCTGAACATAATGAGCCCATGGGGTGGCCTGTTCTCCATTTTCAATCTGCACTTGCAGAGAGCATAATGTATCTATTGTATCAGTGGAATGGGAGTAAGGACTGAAACAGTGTTCATATTCAAGGAAGCTTTAAGCAGATACTTTGCTTTGATTGTTTGCATAAGTCTATCCTAGTCCTTGAAGCACCCCAGTAGGACTTAAAGCACGTGATGGATTCCACATGACTGCTTGAGTGCTTTGCTGGGCCAACAGCTCAGGAGGAGGTTATACATGCTCAAATACTATGACTGCTGCTTTCCCTTGAAGCTTTTTGCCACTTTGGGTGATTGAGTTATTCCTGGTTATATGACAATGTTTGGGGATGACAAGGCAGAAAGCCAAAAAGTTTCTCTGAGGGAAAACACAAAAATGACACTAAACGTTGCTGTTTTTCCTCTGTCTGTAGAGCTGCTATGGAGATCAAAAGAAGACTCGGAATCTTGAAGCCTATGTGGAATGGTTTAACAGGCTCAGTTACTTGGTTGCAACAGAAATCTGCATGGTGAGCAAGGACTGAAAGGTTGTGTTTACTCTAGTAATCTGAAACTGAAGCCTTTTCAGGTTAGGTGCCTTTTGGACTTTTCATTTTCTCAACTCTGTACTTTTTCACATTTGGATGAAGTCAGCACACATCTGAAGAGGAAGTAAGTTCAGTGTTTTCAGCATTACACTGGTGCCTCATACTTTTTCATGTGACACAGTGGTGATGTTATGCTGGGTTAGCCCTTCTTGGCACAGCAATGTATCTGGCCTGTTGTTCCCTCCTGTGAAAGCTCCTTGTGAATGGAAGCCTATTTTCTCTCCTCTAGGCTGACCCTCTGCTCTACTGGTCTTCATATCCTTCTTTTTGGCAGAGCCTCTTTGCCTGTTGTCCTTGCTCTCTACCTGCCCAGTATCTGGACTGTCTTTGCTGTCCTGAATGCTTTGGAATGTAATAGTGTGACTTCCTCTACATGTAAAGAACAGCATGAAGCTGTGGTGTATATGGAAAAGACTTCTGACAGGGTGTTGTTTCTTTTGGGGATGTGTCAGAGTGCTCTGTGTCCTGCTGAGTGTTAACACCACAATCTCTTACAGCCTGTGAAGAAGAAACACAGAGCAAGAGTGATCGAATATTTCATTGATGTGGCACGAGAATGTTTTAACATTGGCAACTTTAACTCCTTAATGGCTATTATTTGTAAGTATGTGTACTGAGATATTCTGTCTCTCTTTGAATCTGGATAAAGGGAGCAAGGTGCTTTACACAAAAGTCTGCAGCTTAGCTTGGTTGGCAACATCAATTTGGGAAGCAAAGAGGTGGAGAACTGCTCAACACTGTTGTAGTATTATGTGTTTAGTATAAATTACTCAAACCCAAAGTTTTCATCGCAACTCAGATCTAAATCCCCAATTTTGAAACCAACTTTGGTGCTAAACTGGAATAGTAATTTTTCCTGTAATATGGAGAATTGATGTCTTTCATCATTCCTACCACACCATAAATATCCTACTGGTTTAAAAATTCCACACCTCTTTATAGGATAGAGAAGGATAGGGAAATATTGGCAATATATTTTAATTTGAAATGTGAGAACTTCATAGTTCTAGTTGGATGAACTCCATATTCTAGTTTGCATTGAAGTATGTAGGAGATGCTGTTGAAAACACTTAGCTTTTCTACTGTATATTCCTGTTTTATCAAATCCCCATTCGATAATATCACTGCACTTTTTGTAGGGCTTTTGTTCTGTAAGAGATATAGATTTTGTTTCCAGGTTTGTTCTGGAATTTAAAGAAAGCAATGACTCTGAGTAGCTCTGTTGAAAATATTTGTTATTGTTATTTAATTTTTTTTCTTTTAAATGCTCCAACAATCTCTTTTGCTTATGTCCAGCTGGCATGAACATGAGTCCTGTGTCTCGATTAAAGAAAACCTGGGCAAAAGTGAAGACAGCCAAGTTTGATATTCTTGAGGTAAGTTTGGCTAAGATTTCAAGAGGGGATTGTTAATAGCATTTTACTTTTAACTGCTCTAAAATGTGAGTTTGGCTTTGTTATGACATGTTTAATTTAGTACGTTTGTGCTCTTAATTGAAATTCTAGAAGACCTAATAGGAATTGTCCAGCTGATTTCTGCTCTTTTGATTTGGAAGAAGGAAATTGAAATTTGTTTGGGTTTTTTAATTCCCAAATCCACCTCCTAAGAATTATGGGGAGGAAAAAAAAAGTAGGTAAGGCCTTGAAAGAGAGAGATATTTGAGAGGGGATGGTGTGAATTGATCTTATGCAGTTCTGCCTTTGAAAATCAAGTTGAGCTGCCTTGAGCTTCCAGAGAAATTTGCCTTGAATTAATTGATTGACAGTTATCTTCAGTTAGTAGAGACCTTGGTCAAAGATCATGGAGGTGCAGCAGTTTGTGATTTACCCAAGAGATTACTTGCCAGCTGCTTAATTATCCTGCTGTAAATGGCAATCAGTTAATTCAGTTTATTTATTAGTAAGGTATTGTAAGGTTTTGTACTTGATACAAGCATGAAATGTTTATTAATATCATCAGAAGATTGGACTTGTGTTATGGCAACAGACTAAAACTATCACTGTGGCCACGTCACACTTCCTCCCCCCACCCTTGGGTGGGAAATAACCTTCCTCGTGCTAAGGGTGGCTCAGGAAGTTGCTCTTAAGATTACAGACCCATTTCCTTTGAGCTGGTTATTCAGGCTGGACTTTGCTGAGTAAGGTTGTACTTTGGGAGCCACTGTCATCTTGGTCACTGAGGTGCAGCAGTCAGTCTTGGAGCAGTGAGGTGGGGCCACCAACAGCTTTAGGTGTCTGATACTAGTTGGCCATTGCAGCTGAATTGGTTCTGAGAAACCTGCATACTAGGAAGAGCAGAACACCAGTGCCAACCCGCTGTTGTCTTAGTTTTGTGATTCTGATTTCTGAATTAAAGTTGAGCTGCCTTCTTTGTGGAGAGACAAAGAAGGTCCATGAAGCCTGACTGTGCTTTCCTGCCCTGACTTGCATTGGATCCCTTGTTGTGCTGAGTAAGCATTTTTAAAAATAAGGTTCTTTTCTTATGGAATGAACAGATAAATAATCATAGAATCATAGAATTTTAGGGGTTGGAATGGACTTTATTAGAGATCATCTCGTCCCAACCCCCTGCCCTGGGCAGGGACACCTCCCACCAGAGCAGGTTGCTCAAGGCTTCATCTAACCTGACTTTGGACACTGCCAGGGTTGGGGCATCTACTACCTCCCTGGGCAACCTGTGCCAGTGTCTCACCACCCTCACAGGAAAAAACCTTTTCCTAATATCTAACCTAAATTTCCCCTCTTTCAATTTGTCCCCATTGCCCCTTGTCCTGTCCCTGCAGGTCCTAGCACAGAGTCCCTCTCTGGCTCCCCTGTATCCCTCTCAGATCCTGGAAGGTTGTTACTGTTGAGATACCACAATCCTCTGAAAAGCTGCATTTGTCATGCTGTTCAGAAGACCTCTTCCTTTTTAAAATAGTTGCTCAATTGAAAAAAGAATTGCATGTGGTGATGCCACTATCTCATTATTTACATTTTTTTATGCCTTGTAGCATCAGATGGACCCTTCTAGCAATTTTTGTAATTACCGAACTGCTCTGCGTGGAGCCACTCAAAGGTCCTTGACAGCTCACAGTAACAGAGAGAAGGTATGTTTACCAATGACTTGGCAGTGGGCAAAAAAGAAATGTGCTGGTTAAGTTGAAAGGTAAAGTTTTTTCTTGGAATTGTGATTCTCAGCAGCTCTACCCCTGGTGGGCTTGTAAAAATCCTCTTAGGGCTGCCAGTTCAGTTTGTGCAGTCTGAAAGATGCAAACATTAAATGATTGTTTTGATTATTTAAATAAAATACAGACATGGCCTCAGGTCTTTTTTCCTTTTTGTTTTTTTTTTTTTTTTGTTTGTTTTTTGTTTTTTTTTTTTTTTTTTGACAGAGAACTATATCTCCCAAACCAGTAATACAGATGGAAAGGCTAAGGACTGAAAAGAGGTTGCTAGGAATTTATTCTTGTAGCTGCTACTTGTGCTAAATTTTAAGTGGTTTATGGTTTAGGGTGGAAAAGCTTTAACATTTACTCAGAAAAGGTATTCTAAAACTCAAATCTAGACAGAGCTCTGAAGTCCCCTTCCTGTGTATAGTCTTTAAATGAAATTAAATGCACTATGGATTTTTTTAGTGGAAATGGTGAGATGAATCAGTTGTTTGTGTAATGCATTGGGTTAAAATTCACCTTCCAGATTCAAGAGCAACTGTGAACTATGTGTTCACAGAGGTGGCATCTTTCTTTAAAACATATTTGCTTTTGAGAAATAAACTGTATTTGGTCACACATTAATACAGACTCTCAGTTGTAGTTCTTGTGGAAAGGAACCAAATACCTTCCTAGCTGCTCTCCACTTAGAAGCTTATAATATTAGGACTTCATGCTGTGTTTAATAAACCTGATCTTGATGTTTATAGAATAAACTATGAGCCAGATGAAGCAAATCCATGTACAATCTGCTGGTCTATACTGTCGTCATACAGGGAATTTTTTCCTGAGTGCTAAGCATCTATTCATATTCGAAGTACCAGGAGTTTAAATGTGAGATGCTTACTCTTTTTCAGAGAAAAGTGAGTTTTAAGACTTCAGGGAAAGAACTTACAGATACTGAAATGGTGCCGTGAAGTCTTCCATGGAAATAGTGATAAGTGGTATTTGTTATATCCCCAGTTGTTACAAGGATGTGTAGATGTGAAAATTTTTGTAGGATGAAAGTTGAAATAGAACCATTTTAAGAATGTAAGAACGTTCCAGCATTCGCCAAAGAAAAATACTTTGATTTGTTCAGCTGGAAGGAAATGCTTCATATTGAGCCAATCAGTACAAAGATGCCACTTCTTGCATGAGCTCAGGGAACCGTAGATTGAAAACCGTTTGTGCTGCTAGCCCCAAATTTTCCCTGCTGTGCTTTAATGTGCATCTCCTCTCATTTATCAAGCAAGTCCCTGCCAAGGGGGAAAGCTACACTACAAGATCCCCTGCAGGAATTGCATGTAAGAAGTAGACACACCTCTGAGCATTTCTCTTCTGGAATCTGAAAGGAAGAATGAAAAAATGTAACCAAGAGGGACATGACATAGAAAGGAAATGTTAGGCATATTGTTGCTCTAAACATGCCTCATAGGCACAGCTGACAAGCAGTGAAGTGCTAAGGGGTACTTTGGTTGTGACCTTGACAGGGAGCTACATGCCAAGCAGAGTTCAGGTTAACAGAAGCAGTTTGGCACAAAGCTGGAAGTAAAATTAGAGGGATTAGCTTGCCATGCAAGGGAGGACTTTTTGTTGAGAGACATCAAGTATTGTAGAATGTAGTGAAAGCAAGGTTTTTACGTAGTGAAAGAGATATATCATAGAGATCTTAGTCCTTCGGTATTTTGCTTACCTTTTGTACCACCTGACTTTTTCTTTTCTCTGTAAATCACTAAGTCTTGATTCAGGCCTAGACTGAGCATAATGTTGTTCTTTCTTTAGATTGTAATACCTTTCTTCAGCCTCTTGATCAAAGATATTTACTTCCTCAATGAGGGTTGTGCCAATCGTCTTCCAAATGGACACGTCAATTTTGAAGTAAGTAGGGCACTGTGTGGGGTATTGATACTGGGTCAGCCCCTCTAACAGAAAACTGAGGCATGGTCCAACTTCCACTGGATTCTGGGGGAGAAATATTAGACTGGAATTTGAGTATATCTGTTGCTTCTCAGAGGAGCTGGGAGGTAGTCAGGAAAAAGCAGTTTTAGTGAAGATGAAGTGTTTTAGAGAAGCTTTCAATATTCACAAGTGTTTAGTGGGGGAAAAAAGTCAGAATTTTCCCAGTGCTCAAGTGCATATAAACATTAAAATTCACAAGTTTATTATACTTATTATGCAAAGTCATTCAAATTAATATTTTAGAGATTATTTTTTAATTCCTCATGTAAAAGGAGAGTTCATCCTTTGTCAGGGTATATAGGCAGCATTTTTCATGCATGTAAGTCAGATATCCTCTGCAGAAACATGTGATAGAACAGCAGTGAAGGAGTTTTGAGTCTCTTGTCTTTCAGTAGTTCTTCTGCCTCTGATTTGTTGTCTGACAGTATGGATTACCCAATGATTTGTTTTCTGGTACTTTCAGTTTTCAAGGGCCTCAGGTCATCAACACAAAATTCCAGTACACTTCACCTGTAGTCATTGACCTGAATTAACCTGGTTCTCAAGCTTCAGTTTGAATCCATTACCCCTTGTCCTATCACTGCATCTCCTAACACAGAGTCCCTCTCCAGCTCCTTGTAGGCCCTTCAGATATTGAAAAGTTGCTCTGAGGTCTCCACACAACCTTCTCTTCCCCAGGCTGAACAGCCCCAACTCCCTCAGCCTGTCCTCATAGGGGAGATGCTCCAGTGCTCTTAGCAACTTTGTGGCCTCCTCTGGACTTGCTTTCATTGCAAAACAAAAAGCAGGAGCATCATTGAAGTTAAAAGCTGGGCATAAGGAGTGTTACCAGCTCCTTGGAAAGGAACTGAGTGCAGTTATAGCTACTGTTTGTATTCATAAATAGCAATTTTACCAAGGTGAAGGAGTGGGAAGTTCCCCCAGTGTTAAACAGGAACACACAGATTAGAAGCTGAGTTGTTGAGTCAGGTCATGTTCAATTTTATCTTAAAAGCTGAGGACAATCCAAGCCTTGGATTTAAAACCAAGATCTCTCTCTTTAAAAAATGTTGAGGGTAAGTAGTGCTGCTCAATATATAGCACCTCTTCTCTTTTTATTCTGACAGAAATTCTGGGAATTGGCTAAACAAGTCAGTGAATTTATGACATGGAAGCAAGTGGAATGTCCTTTTGAAAGGGATTGGAAGATTCTGCAGTACTTGCTCACTGTCCCAGTCTTCAGTGATGATGGTAAGGAGCTCTGGGATTCCTGCAGGTCTGGTGTCACTGGCTGCTGCACAATCTCTCTCCATGTTAAGCTGTGCCTTCCTCACAGAAAAGAAAGACTTTGTCTTGAGACAGCTCTGTCTGCCAAGTAAAAAAATGCTCCAGCCTTACAAATGACAGACAAGATAAGATTTTTCTTTCATGTGCACATGGTCTGTGGGAATCAACATTGTCCATTTCTCTGAAATGGAATGAACAAATGGATGTGATGCATATAAATGTCATCTGTGGTGTATTTATAGGAACTTTCAGGATACTTTATGCTAAAAAGATGCTGCTTGAGAAACAAACCAGAGATTTCACTGGTTACTTACAAAGCAGCATGTCCCTGGGCTGATTTTTTTAATCTTTTGAGAGCTTTCTTCTACTTGTGCTTTTGAGCTTCCGCTAGTTGGTTTTTTTCCCCCCCTCAGGGCAGTCTTTGTTCTCATGCACAGTTCGTTAGTATTGTCTGGATGCAATTATAAGCAATGCTGTACTTCCTAATGGGATTCTGGAGCCCTGATCTGAGGGATGGATAATACATGCTTGCTTCATTTAACTCAGTCCACTTGCCAGGGAGAGCAAATTTTAAAACGCCAGTAGGGCCTAACATAATGTATTTGCTTCTGATTGCAGCACTTTACTTGGCTTCCTATGAGAGTGAAAGTCCTGAGAATCACATTGAAAAGGACAGATGGAAGACACTAAGGTTTGTGTCAGAGGTTACTCGGATCAATAAATAAACAGAATGGGACACAGAGCAAGCAGCAAACAGTTAAAACCAAATGGCATGTTACATGTTTCAACAGATGGGGCACAGTATTGTTGTAAATCCCCTCTCCAGTCTGGGACTCTTGGGAAAAATAGAACAGTCAGGCTTTATCTTAAACCCTCTCAGGCTTTCTTTCCCTTAGGGAATGGGAATTAGAATAAGTCATTTTTATTTTAATTTCTTGTGTTACTTGTGTTTCAGTGTAGGAAAAAACCTACTTTCTAAACTTCCAAGAAATCTCTAGTTCCTCACAAGTCCTATACAGAGCACTCTGGTTTCCAAGCAGATGTTGCAGTTGCTGCATCCCTTTGTGAAAGCAGTTAACAATCTAGAGTCTAGGCTGGGGAAAAAAAAACAAATTTCAGCAAAATGGAATTTTTGGCTTTTCTTCTCCTGGTATTTGAATATAGCCTGACCAGCTCTTTCATTTTACTAGTTATGGAAGGATACACAAACTATTATGGGGTTGTTTTAGACCATGCTTGGCCAATTGAATTTTAATTTTTGGGTTTTTAAAAAAAAATGACTTCGTGGAAGAAGAGAAAACTAATCAGGTGCATAGATAGAGAACAGAATTAAGCAGGTGTATGAATAGTCTGTTTTCACCCCCAAGCCATACCTCCACTTTAGTCTTAAAACTGTCAATATCCCAAGGAACTGACCATTAGTCAGGTGTCCTTGTCACTGTTACAGGCAAATGGTGTGTTAACACCATGGACATAATATCCCAACTCTTCTGGTCCACTCTGCAACACTGTAAAGAGACAACTGAACACCACAACCCTAAGGATTCTCCTGGGAGTGTGTTGTTTTTTTCTGGGATATCACAAGGGGATGCAACAATTCCACCTGATTACTACTTCTAATTTTGAGGAGAAGAAAGAGAGTTACTCATGTCAGGGCACAGACTCTGTGTTACACAGGGTGGCAAGATGAAAACCTGTGGTATCACAAATCTCAGTTTCACAGGGTCCTTATCATGGCACCCTGGAGCTGTCTGAGATGATGTACAGGATTCTAACGATTGTCTTTCCC